CAGAGCATGTAAGATATGATTCTGTATATTCTGTATAAGAGGCAGAAACATGACTCTGGTCAGTAATCAAGATGTGAGATTGTTACTGACACTGCAAAAAACACAGTACAAAAACACACACTGGAAAAACACACGCTGCAAAAACACACTGGAAATGCACACACTGGAAAAAACACAATACAAAAACACACAATGCAAATACACACACTACAAAGGTTCAAGGAATCTTTATTATCCCTGAGGGGCAATTTGGTTGCAGCAACAAAAAGGTAAACATATACACGAGGAAACAAAGATTTACAGCAGAATTACAGTCTGTTCAAAACACCAATGGCAAGAGGGATTAAAGAGTTCTTAAGTCTATTAGTCCTGCATTTAGTGGAGCTATATCTGCGGCCAGAGGGAAGCATCTTAAACTCTGCCCACGGGGGGTAGGTGGCGTCTGTGGAGATCTGCTGGGCATTTTTAAAGATCTGAGTCTTGTGGCGTCCTGAAGGTTAGGAAAAGTGACCCCAACAATTTTACACAAAAGCGCATGATACTCTGAAGAGGCTTTTTGTTCTTTACTGATAATGCTCCAAACCAGCACATAAACGAGAAGGTAAAAACTGATTCAATAAAACGAGTAAAACATTGTCAAAAAAGTTCTGTCGACATTAAAATGATTTAGTTTGCGATAAAAGAACATACGCTAGTGTGCCTTGCTGCAGAGAGCATCGACCTGGGGCTCAAAGGTGAGTTTATTGTCTATGGTGGTAGCCAAGTATCTCTACCGATCCACCAATTCGTTTGGAATAAAGTCAAGAGTGACAGGCAGGAGGGAAGAGGCGACCTCCTGAAATCAATGCACATCTCTTTGGTCTTGGAAACATTTATGTGTAGATAAGAGGATGGGCACCAGTCGTAAAAGTCAGAAATGGCAGGACCTGAGTTGGAGCCGTTCAAGAGAGACACAATTATTGTGTCATTGGCAAATTTTAAAATATGCCGATTTGGGTGTTGGCTCTTGCACTCATTAGTGTACAGCACCAACAGGAGTGGAAAAAGAACACTTCCGACAAGGTACCATTTACCCTCACGCAATCGGGCCTGTTGGTTAAAACGTCTGACAGCCAGAAAATAAGCCCTTTCTCAATGGTGTTGTCACTTTGTGCCATGATACTTGGCTGTATACAATTAAAAGCTGATGTAAAGTCAGAGAGATACCGACTAGAGATAGTCGGCCTCACCTCCACACACAGCTTGGGCTCTGGAACCCAACTCCTTGAGAGGGGTTGGACGCTCCACTTTTCTGGTGTTTCCCGCGGGGAGAGGCGGCGAGCTGGGGTGGCCATACTCATTGCCCCCCATCTCAGCCGCCACGTGTTGGAGTTCTCCCCGGTGAATGAGAGGGTCGCGTCCCTCCGCCTCCGGGTGGGGGACAAGTCTCTCACTGTTGTGACGGCCTACGGGCCTAACGGTAGTGCAGAGTACCCGGCCTTCTTGGAGTCCTTGGGAGGGGTACTGGACAGTGCACCGCCCGGGGACTCCGTTATTCTCCTGGGGGACTTCAACGCCCATGTGGGAAATGTCAGTGACACTTGGAAAGGGGTGATCGAGAAGAGCGGCCCCCCTGATCTGAACCCGAGCGGTGTTCAGTTGTTGGACTTCTGTGCCAGTCACGGCCTGTCCATCACGAACACCATGTTCGTGCACAAGGGTGTCCATCAGTGCACGTGGCACCAGGACACCCTAGGCCGGAGGTCGATGATCGACTTTGTAGTCGTATCATCTGACCTTCGACCGCGTGTCTCGGACACTCGGGTGAAGAGAGGGGCGGTGCTGTCAACCGATCATCACCTGGTCGTGAGTTGGATCCGCTGGCAGGGCAGGAGGCCGGTCAGACCTGGCAGGCCCAAGCGTGTAGTGAGGGTTTGCTGGGAACGTCTTGGTGAGCCCCCTGTCAGACGGACTTTCAACTCACACCTCCGGGAGAGCTTCTCCCAGGTCCCGGCAGAGGAGGGGGACATCGAGTCCGAGTGGACCATGTTTTCTTCCTCTATCGCCAATGCGGCGGCTCGTAGCTGTGGTCGCAAGGTCTCTGATGCTGGTCCCGGCGGCAATCCCCGAACCCGGTGGTGGACACCGGCAGTAAGGGATGCCGTCAGGCTGAAGAAGGAGTCCTATCGAGCAATGATGGTTCGTGGGACTCCTGAGGCAGCAGTCCAGTAACCGCAGGCCAAACGTGCCGCGGCCCGGGCTGTTGCAGAGGCAAAAACCCGGGACTGGGAGGAGTTCGGAGAGTCCATGGAGCATGACTATCGGTCGGCCTCGAAGAGGTTCTGGCAAACCGTCCGGCGCCTCAGGAGGGGGAAGCAGTTCTTTGCCAACACCGTGTATGGTGCGGGTGGAGGGCTGCTGACCTCGACTGGGGATATTGTCGGGCGGTGGAAGGAATACTTCGAGGTTCTCCTCAATCCCCCCGTCACGTCCTCCGTCCAGGAGGCAGAGGCTGAGGATGTTGGGGCGGATACTTCCATCTCCCTGGCCGAGGTCACCAAGGTGGTTGGCAGCCTCCATGGTGGCAGGGCGCCGGGAGTGGATGAGATCCGTCCTGACTATCTAAAGTCTCTGGATGTTGTAGGACTGTCTTGGCTGACACGTCTCTGCAACATCGCGTGGCGATCGGGGGCGGTGCCAATGGAGTGGCAGACCGGGGTGGTGGTCCCTCTCTACAAGAAGGGGGACCGGAGGGTGTGTTCCAATTATCGTGGGATCACACTCCTCAGCCTCCCCGGTAAGGTCTACTCCAAGGTACTGGAGAGGAGGCTACGTCCGATGGTCGAATCTCGGATTCAGGAGGAGCCGTGTGGTTTTCGTCCCGGTCGCGGAACACTGGACCAGCTCTATACTCTCCATCGGATACTCGAGGGTTCATGGGAGTTCGCCCAACCTGTCCACATGTGCTTTGTGGATTTGGAGAAGGCGTTCGACCGTGTTCCCCGGGGTGTCCTTTGGGGTCCTCCGGGAGTACGGGGTCCGGGGTCCTCTGCTGAGGGCTGTTCGGTCCCTGTATGACCGGAGCCAGAGCTGTGTTCGCATTGCCGGCAGTAAGTCAGACCTGTTCCCGGTGCATGTTGGCCTCCGCCAAGGCTGCCCTTTGTCACCGGTTCTGTTCACTGTATTTATGGACAGAATCTCTAGGCGCAGCCAGGGGCCGGAAGGGGTCCGGTTCGGGAACCACAGGATTTCATCTCTACTTTTTGCGGATGATGTCGTCCTGCTGGCTCCAACGAACCAGGACCTGCAACATGCACTGGGACGGTTTGCAGCCGAGTGTGAAGCGGCTGGGATGAGAATCAGCACCTCCAAATCCGAGGCCATGGTGCTCGACCGGAAAAAGGTGCCTTGCCCTCTCCAGGTGGGTGGAGAGGTCCTTCCTCAAGTGGAGGAGTTCAAGTATCTCGGGGTCTTGTTCACGAGTGAGGGGAGGATGGAGCGTGAGATTGACAGGCGGATCGGTGCAGCGTGCGCAGTGATGCGGTCTCTGTATCGGACCGTTGTGGTAAAGAGGGAGCTGAGCCGAAAGGCAAAGCTCTCAATTTACCGGTCAATCTTCGTTCCCTCCCTCACCTATGGTCATGAGCTTTGGGTAATGACCGAAAGAACGAGATCGCGGATACAAGCGGTCAAAATGAGCTTCCTCCGCAGAGTGGCTGGGCGCTCCCTTAGAGATAGGGTGAGGAGCTCGGTCACACGGGAGGAGCTCGGAGTAGAGCCGCTGCTTCTCCACGTCAAGAGGAACCAGTTGAGGTGGCTCGGGCATCTGTTCAGGATGCCTCCTGGATGCCTTCCTGGGGAGGTGTTCCGGGCACGTCCCACCGGGAGGAGACCGCGGGGAAGACCCAGGACACGCTGGAGAGACTATGTCTCTCAGCTGGCCTGGGAACGCCTAGGGGTCCCCCCGGACGAGCTGGAGGAGGTGTGTGTGGATAGGGAAGTCTGGGCGTCTCTGCTTAGACTGCTGCCCCCGCGACCCGGCAACGGATAAAGCGGAAGAAAACGGATGGATGGATGGATGTAAAGTCAATAAACATACGGCGGACAAAAGAATCAGGATTCTCTAGATGGCTTAAAAACAAATGGAGAAGTGTCCCTAGAGCATCGGCGACTCACCTCCCGGATCTATCTTGGGAACACTCTGTTGTGCTAGGGAAGACCTATAGATAAAGCAAAAGAATTCCACTAATTGTGAAGCACAATCTTAAGGATACGTCCACTAATTCCATCAGGCCCTGGGCTTTTCGTTTCCTACATTTTTCAGAAAATACCAGCTAAAGGACCGGCTTGTAGGGCGGAAATAGAAAAACAGTGCTGTGGTCAGACATGCCGAGTGGGGCTCTGCATAAGGATTTATAAGCTCCCTTTATGGAGCAAAAGCACAAGTCCAGGCATTTGGAGATACGTGTGGGACAAGTCACGTACTGCTGAAAACTGCAAAAAGACCTGCCCACAGGTCTCTCTTTGCAGTTGTTAAAGTCAACCATGACAAATAAAGGTGCGTCCGGGGTGATCTGCTGAAGACACTGTACCGTATCCCTGATAGCTCTGGCTGCTCCGTCAGCATTGGCTTTGTGCTGAATGTACACTACAATCACAAAGAAGTGTGGGTTTTCTCGGGATAAATAATAAGGACGCAGTGACACGGCCAGTTCGATATCAAGAGAGCATATCGTTTTTCTCATTATAACCATGTTACACCAGTTACAATTGACATGAAGACACCGCCACCACCAAGAGACTTCCCCGTCACACTAGCGTCTTGGTCCAGCCTGAAGGGGACCCTAAAGCGGTCTTGAGGTTAGACTGGGGATTGTGGTCTTTAAGCCATGTCTCTGTCAGAGCAATGAGACCGGCACTTAGGTACTCCTTCATGTACTTCACATTTGTCTGACACTCATCCACTTTAATTTGCAGTAACTGCACCATCGACAGTAAGATATTGGAAGAGGAATCCAACGATGGCCCAGCCTCTTGAGCCTCTGGCGCAGCCCCCGGCGTCTCCCGTATTTTCTCCTCTGTGCTGTTGGTCTGGTATCTTGGACCGCGTCCCCCGCCGGGTGATTCTGCCTGGAGATTTCCACTGGGATGGCAGTAACGTCCACAGTCCCCCCGATTGGTTCTCGAAGAAGCAACAGGGACTTGCAGTCATACTGGATGTGGCTCCTTACTTCACATAATTTGTGCCACAAATGACAGTAAATCACAGAAAGGATAAAGAGTGTCTTTACATTCAAGTAAGTTAATGCAACTGTCTTGCCACAGAAATAACGACCTAGTGACTGTTAATCATGTTAAAAGTCAAAGTGTTGTTCGGAAGGAAAAAAAGCTCCTGTAGAATCAAGGGAGCTCGTCCACTCCGCAGATCCGGAACGTCCAGAGAAATGACCAAATATGGGAGAGTTCCGCTAATCTTTTGGTCCCCATAGTGGCACATGGGCTACTGTGCACATTGATTTGAATAGAGCGCCATTTTGGATTACTGGGGCTCGATACAATCATACAGCTGTGGGAACAAGCACGCAAACAGCAGCCTTCCCTACACAGCAGTGCACAGCTAGCAAGTAGTTTACCACAATCAGAGCTAGCTATCCCAATCAATAGCCCAGACATAAGGCTACCAAAACCTTCAGGACAAGGTTACCGTCACGTCCCACGGAGGGGGCGAATCCGTAGCTCCGGTTGACACAAGGTTAATTAAGCGTTTTGAATTTTGCAAGCAAGAAGAAAAAAGAAACAGAGCGACGGATGACGCCGGGCTATATTACCTCTTGGGCGTCATCCAGGGGTCACAGGAGATTCATTTGGTATTACTACTGGAACTGCACATGCGCCAAGGGAACATTATGTGACCCGGAGGGATAAAAAAGAACTGAAGCTGAGGATGAGCGTTTACATTACAGTCAATGGGAAAATGTCTTTTACACATGTTATGATATTGTACCTGTGGAGTTGTTTTTAGATCCATCCATGCTATTTTCAAGAACTTGGGGCACAAACATTTAGCTCTGCCCATTCAGTCTAAATGTTGCTGTCCCAGAGCACTGTCCCAGAATCTCTTCGAGGCCGACCGATAGTCATGCTCCATGGACTCTCCGAACTCCTCCCAGTCCCGGGGTTTTACCTCTGTAATAGCCCGGGCTGCGGCACGCTTGGCCTGTCTGTACTGGACAGTTGCTTCAGGAGTCCCACGCACCATCATGGCTTGATAGGACTCCTTCTTCAGCCTGACGGCATCCCTTACTACCGGTGTCCACCACCGTGTTCAGGGGTTGCCGCCGCGATCAGCACCAGAGACCTTGCAACCACAGCTACAAGCTGCCGCATTGGCGATAGCGGAAGGACCATGGTCCACTCAGACCTGATGTCCCCCTCCTCCGCCGGGACCTGGGAGAAGCTCTCCCGGAGGTGTGAGTTGAAAGTCCGTCTGACAGGGGTCTCAGCGAGACGTTCCCAGCAGACCCTCACTACACGCTTGGGTCTGCCAGGTCTGACCGGCTTCTTCCCCTGCCAGCGGATCCAACTCACGACCAGGTGGTGATCGGTTGACAGCTCCGCCCCTCTCTTCACCCGAGTGTCCGAGACACGCGGTCGAAGGTCAGATGATACGACAACAAAGTCGATCATCGACCTCCGGCCTAGGGTGTCCTGGTGCCACGTGCACTGGTGGACACCCTTGTGCTCGAACATGGTGTTCGTGATGGACAAACTGTGACTGGCTCAGAAGTCCAACAACTGAACACCGCTCTGGTTTAGATCAGGGGGACCGTTCTTCCCGATCACCCCTCTCCAAGTATTACTGGCATTTCCCACATGGGCGTTGAAGTCCCCCAGGAGAATAACGGAGTCCCCGGGCGGTGCACTGTCCAGTACACCTCCCAAGGACTCCAAGAAGGTCGGGTACTCTGCACCGCTGTTAGGCCCGTAGGCTGTCACAAAAGTGAGAGACGTGTTCCCCACCCGAAGGCGGGGGGACGCGACCCTCTCATTCACCGGGAAGAACTCCAGCACGTGGCGGCTGAGATGGGGGGCAATGAGTATAGCCACGCCTGCTCACCGCCTCTCCCCGCGAGAAACACCAGAAAAGTGGAGCGTCCAACCCCTCTCAAGGAGTTGGGTTCCAGAGTCCAAACTGTGTGTGGAGGTGAGGCGGTATCGCTCGACCTCCCCCTCGAGCTTGGGCTCCTTCCTCCCCAGTAAGGTGACGTTCAACGAACCAACAGCCAGATGCTGTGTGCGTGGACTGGGTTGCTAAGGTCTAAGCGTTCGACCGCTGCCCAGTCCTCTCTGCACCAATGCCCCATGGATCCCTCTGCGGGTGGTGGGTTCACAGGAGGGCTGGCCCAAGTCGTCCGTTCGGGCTGACCTGGCCGGGCCCCTTGGGCTAAGGCCCGGCCACCAGACGCTCGAGCCCCAACCCCAGGCCTGGCTCCAGGGTGGGGCCCCGGCTGCGCCATGCTGGGCGTCACGGGTTTTTTTTTTGTGCGATTCATGGTGGCTTCGGACTGCGCTTCGTCTGACTCGTCACCCGAGACCTGTCTGCCATGGGAGACCCTACTGGGGGCATGAAACCCCAGACAACATAGCTCCCAGGATCATCCGAGTACTCAAACTCCCCCACCACGTTAAGGTGGAAGTAATAAAGTTATAAATAAAGGTGGGTTATAAATATATTATGGATTTATGTTTGTGTGCACAGAAAGCCAGTTAGAGGAAATGTTGCACGGATGGAATAAGTAAGGGATAATCTATTGTACGCAGGTCATTATCGGAAAATAAGTACCGACAGGGCGGAGCGTGCATCCGGAACAACGGTTATTTGAAAATACTAATTTGTTCTCTCTTGTTTGTAAAAATGTGTTGACCTTACCAGGTAACCTCACTGGAACCTCCCACTTATTTGGAAGCAGCTGATCACATGGGCTGGCAACCACTTAATATTTTGTGGTCAAAAGAAAAAGAAAAACATGATGAAGGCATAAAGTTGAAACGTCATGAATAGATCATTTTGGACATCTGAGCTGAGTGTGCAATGCTTCCCTGTTTCCTGAAATGTTGATTCTCGGATCTGCACCTCATTGATTACATTTTACCATGAAACTGGACTTACTCAAAGCATTTGGGATAAAAGACGCTAACAAGAAACCCTGGTCTGTAAATACAGTGCTACTAACTCGCAGTATCTTCCTCTTAACTAAATAATTAGGGATTGAGCGCACTATAGGACCTTTAATAGATGTTTAATCGCCCTTTGAGGCCTCTGATGCCTCTGAGGCCTTAGTGATCAGAGCAGTACTGGCCTCTTTCAGCTCTTCGTCAAACTGCACTAATTAAAGCTGACAGCTCTAAGTATGAAGAATCAGAGCTGTCGTCTGTGAAGCCACTGGTTAGAGAGCATTCATTAAGGATCAGTGTCAGTCATTCATTACATACAACATATCAAATGTAAGTAAGTTTTTTTTTTTATTTATATACCGCCTTTTCACTGCAGATCTGAGTCTCAAAGCGGTTTACAATTGTTTATTTTTTGGGCATTTGTCTCTCACTCCACACAGAGATGGGAGCAGGGTCGCCAGTACAGGAGGCGCATGCCAGAACTATTGGACATGTTTTTAGTGGTAGGGGAAACCGGAGTACCCGGAGGAAACCTACGCAGACACAGGGAGAACATGCAAACTCCACGCAGAAAGGCCCTGGTCCGACCGGGATTCGAACCCAGGACCTTCTTGCTGAGAGGCGAGAGTGCTATCCACTCAGCCACCGTGCCGCCGTGTAATGTATAACATGCGTCATCAAAACCTCCAGCCACCGGCTGTGACACAGATATTCTACATCTTTCTCCAACTTTTCAAAACTCTATATCTGAATTTGATCTGAATATTACACTGTGTTGTTTACAGCAGGGGTCTCCAACCTTTTCATTCACCTTCATTTCAAGAGCTACTTTTGTAAAATGGAAATGGCTTAGAGCTGCTCCTTTTGTAGTTGTAATACAATTTTAGTTTATTTAATTACAGCAAATCATAGAGAACACACATGCATATACACCACGGCGGCACGGTGGCAGAGTGGTTAGCACTCTCGCCTCTCAGCAAGAAGGTCCTGGGTTCGAATCCCGGTCGGACCAGGGCCTTTCTGAGTGGAGTTTGCATGTTCTCCCCGTGTCTGCGTAGGTTTCCTCCGGGTACTCCGGTTTCCCCTACCACTAAAAATATATCCAATAGTTCAGGCATGCGCCTCCTGTACTGGCGACCCCGCTCCCATCTCTGTGTGGAGTGAGAGACAAATGCCCAAAATTAACAATTGTAAACCGCTTTGAGACTCAGATCTGCAGTGAAAAGGCGGTATATAAATAAAGATTACTACTACTACTTACTACTACCACAGTACCGTACAGTATCCCTGCATTCATGAAAAGATGAATAGTTGAAATAGATGTAGTAGCCTGGTCTTACCACACCATGGTACTATTTTCATTTCGTGCTAAGGTCTGGATTTGCTCCATTGAGCTGTCAGTATTGAAATTTGCTAAACAGGCCTCTTGTTCTGGCTTCAATTTCTTGATAATTGGAGCAGAACCAGAACAGAAGACTTTACTATCACATTTGCAGACATTGCCAAACTACAACCAGCAAATGTTGGCGCAAACTCTTAACGTCACCGACACTTACCTACAACACCCGCCTCCCCTGCTTGGTGATTGGCCGGATGGGATACAACCGAAGTAGCTGCAGCCCAGAGGATCAGACCCAGACGTAAATAATAATTGCCCGGAGTTCACGGATGGATAAGGTCGGGCTAGATATGTAATGATTTCAGGATCATTTTAGAAACTCTTGAATCCTTTGGGGAACTTTGGCCAGCACCACCCTCAGGGCTGCTGCATGCATTACATCACTTTTGGGGGAATTGGATCCATTCGTAGCTCTGTGTGGACACATACAGAGATAGTTGGGTCCAAACACAATTCAGTTTCAAAACGTTTTCTTTACTTTTGACCTGTTTTGTCTCGGTGGATATGTCCTCAAACATCATTGTTGTTTTTTAAATGAAAATATGTAGCGAAAGCAGACATTCTGGTGGACGACTGTGGCATCCAAGGCCAACTTCTGATCAGGCTGTTTAAACAACAAACAACTCTTGATGTTTGCGCAACCACCTCCTCTTGCCTCCTCCTCTGCTTCTTCAGACACACACTCTATAGTCTCAGGGCACTTGTATATAGTAGTAATTTGAAGAATTGTTATGTAGATTTTGATTTCATGCTTGCATTATTCTAATTTTACTTGTTTAACTTGAGCCAAAGCCGATTCCTGGTTTGTGACTTCCTGTTACAATGGAAATACAAATAATTCTGATTATTTTGTGGACTCTGCCCTACTGCCACCAGTGTCTGGGCCCTGGGGGTTGCAAGTCATACATGATCTTCCTTGAGCGTGTGTCACAGCCGAGGTTGCGCCAAAAAACAAAATCGATAAACTCATTTAATGCTTTTCTGCATCTGTTTGGTCTCTCCAGATTGAAACGGTCATCTGCATTCTGGGTCCAATTATATTTGAGTTTGCTGACCATAACAGCTCATTGCATTATGAGGAAGGTAAAGGAACGCAAAACTGGTATTCCAAAAAAAAAAAACGTGTGGTAACTTTAACATAGAGCTAAAACTCAGAGACAAATCCTCCTGGAGTCTGTCCAACTTCCTCCGCACTTCTTTACTTCCTGCTCTTTGTGGTTTTGTTCTTCTTCTTTGAAAAGTAAACGTTTTTAGGTCAATGCTCGGCTTAAGTCAGAGTGAAACAGTTCCCTGTTTTCTTCCACACAGTTGTCTCAGCCGTCTTCATTCAGAATATGATAATACAGCTTTAAACTGTTCACAACCTTTTCTTTTTTCCTGCTGCTGAAAGATTAAGTATGAAACTGTTGTAAAGGCTCCAAGTTTTAATATTAGGCAATTTTTATGAAAATGGATCATTGTTAATGGATTTGTGTTATTAAAACCTTTCTTTCTGTCTCATTGTTGATTCACCAATTTTAACGGTAATCATTCTTCCTTAAAACATACATATTCTCAAAATCATGTTTTAGGACTAGGAAGATCCAGGGCTGATAGTTACCGTGTGTGTGTGTGTGTGTGTGTGTGTGTCGTGCCTCAGTGCAGATTTAAACAGGACACATTATCCTCTCATTTATCTTAAAGACTCTCAGGAGGCACAGGCTTCTCCCTTTGAGGCTAAAACTCAGTATGCAGCAGTATGCAGGAGTGTAATTCTGCCAATTTTCTATTTTCACAAATGACTAATGCTATAAATGACAATTCACTGAAGATGAATGTGTTTTAAAAAGTGTGTTAGTATTAGATAGCAATATGGCCTACGTGCAGGACTGTACAAGGACTCTGATTATTTTGACTATGATGTGACTCTCTGTGTGACACGTCTTTCGATGTATGACGTGACAATGACTATATAAACTGTGTACTGACTCCATTCTGTCTGAGAGAAAGAAACAATGGAAACCACCGGAACTTGAGAGAAACTTAAATAAACTTCCAGAGTTTGGCGCACCACGGTCCGTCTCTGTCTGCCTCATCCCTGACAAGTGCTATAAACATTTAAAACATACGTTCTTATTAGCGAAGAATAGTGAGGGAAGAAGACTTGGCGCGTGGCCTGTGTTTGACAGGGGGTGTGGTCTGTGTGTGGCAGGGGGTGTGGTCTGTGTTTGGCAGGGGGTGTGGTCTGTGTTTGGCAGGGGGTGTGGTCTGTGTGTGGCAGGGGGTGTGGTCTGTGTTTGGCAGGGGGTGTGGCCTGTGTTTGACAGGGGGTGTGGTCTGTGTGTGGCAGGGGGTGTGGCCTGTGTTTGACAGGGGGTGTGGTCTGTGTGTGGCAGGGGGTGTGGCCTGTGTTTGGCAGGGGGTGTGGTCTGTGTGTGGCAGGGGGTGTGGCCTGTGTTTGGCAGGGGGTGTGGTCTGTGTGAGTAAGGGGGTGTGGTCTGTGTTTGGCAGGTGGCGTGGCTTGTGTTTGACAGGGGTGTGGTCTCGGCGTGACAGGGGGTGTGACCTGTGCGTGGCAGGGGGCGTGTCCTGCGTGTGGCAGGGGGCGTGGCATATGCCTCTGAGAGACATTCACACCTGCATCTTATTTTTTGACCATCTTTCTTTTTGTATTTTTTCTGCTCCCTGTTTCCACTCTCTGCTTCCCTTTCTAAATCATAAATCACTTTTTGATGGTGAATCCAGCCATGTCTGTCTCGTCTGTCTCTATTCTTTAACTCTCTTCTTTGACTGTTGCATCGAGAGCCAAAGCAATTTCCTGGTCTGTGACTCCCTGTTACTTACATAGCAATAAAAATGATTCTGATTCTGTTGTGAGACTTTGTTTCAGATTACATCAAAGTGCCACAGTTCAAAAAGGAACTCTGCATTATCAGACTGCACGGGGAACGTGTTCTGAATCCGCTGAGATGTCTCTGAAACATAGAGCACAGTAATGACCTCACAGACATGAACTATTTCCAAGAAACTGAATCGAGCTGCGATTCCGAATACTCATTTATGATCATTTCTGGACAGTGGTTAAGCCTCTCTCATATGGCCAATGGCACTCTCTCTGGTCTCTCTCGCTGGTCTCTCTCTCTGGTCTCTCTCTCCGGTCTCTCTCGATGGTCTCTCCCTGGTCTCTTTTTCTGGTCTGTCTCTCTCTGGTCTCTCCCTACGGTCTCTCTCTGGTCTCTCTCTGGTCTCTCTCGTTGGTCTCTCTTTCTGGGCCCCTCTCTGGTCTCTCTCTGGTCTCATTTTGTTCCCTCTCTCTAGTCTCACTCTGCTCTCTCTCTCTCTGGTCTCTTTCTGTTCTCTCTCTTGTCTCTCTCTGGTTTCTCACTTTTCTGTATGAGTATCTTGGATTGAGGACTAGTTTCCGCCTCATAATAATTATTCAAATCTTATATTGTGTTTTTTAGAATTGCCATTTTTTGTAAATCTTTTTGTTAATGGCTTTTGGCTTTTTGCTTTTTGCTCGTTCCGTTCGATCAGAAAGTGCAGTGAGATGGAAAATTGATGCACAACGCTCTGATAATTTCTCACAAAGATTTCAATTCGTTTTTAAAATAGAAAATTGTATAAAGTCCCAGAGCTGTTTCCAGTTAGAGCTGATTATTACCTGAGGCTCTACACCGACTCTGAGGAGTCCACCAACCTACACGAACATTTCTTCATGTAGGTTATGAAGAAATGTTCAGGAAGCGCAGAGCTCCACCCCCTCACAGACAAAGAGGAGGAGGTGCAGGCCCTCACAGAGAGGAGGAGGTGCAGGCCCTCAAAGACAGAGAGGAGGAGGTGCAGGCCCTCACAGACAAAGAGGAGGAGGTGCAGGCCCTCACAGAGAGGAGGAGGTGCAGGCCCTCAAAGACAGAGAGGAGGAGGTGCAGGCCCTCACAGACAAACAGGAGGAGGTGCAGGTCCTCACAGACAGAGAGGAGGAGGTGCAGGCCCTCAGAGACAGAGAGGAGGAGGTGCAGGCCCTCACAGAGAGAGGAGGAGGTGCAGGCCCTCACAGACAGAGAGGAGGAGGTGCAGGCCCTCAAAGACAGAGAGGAGGAGGTGCAGGCCCTCACAGACAAACAGGAGGAGGTGCAGGTCCTCACAGACAGAGAGGAGGAGGTGCAGGCCCTCAGAGACAGAGAGGAGGAGGTGCAGGCCCTCACAGACAAACAGGAGGAGGTGCAGGCCCTCACAGACAAACAGGAGGAGGTGCAGGCCCTCACAGACAAACAGGAGGAGGTGCAGGTCCTCACAGACAGAGAGGAGGAGGTGCAGGCCCTCAGAGACAGAGAGGAGGAGGTGCAGGCCCTCAGAGACAGAGAGGAGGAGGTGCAGGCCCTCACAGACAGAGAGGAGGAGGTGCAGGTCCTCACAGACAGAGAGGAGGAGGTGCAGATCCTCACAGACAGAGAGGAGGAGGTGCAGACCCTCACAGACAGAGAGGAGGAGGTGCAGACCCTCACAGACAGAGAGGAGGAGGTGCAGGCCCTCACAGACAAAGAGGAGGAGGTGCAGGCGATCACAGACAGAGAGGAGGAGGTGCAGGTGATCACAGACAAAGAGGAGGAGGTGCAGACCCTCACAGACAGAGAGGAGGAGGTGCAGGTGATCACAGACAAAGAGGAGGAGGTGCAGACCCTCACAGACAGAGAAGAGGAGGTGCAGGTGATCACAGACAAAGAGGAGGAGGTGCAGGCCCTCACAGACAAAGAGGAGGAGGTGCAGGCGATCACAGACAAAGAGGAGGAGGTGCAGACCCTCACAGACAGAGAGGAGGAGGTGCAGGTGATCACAGACAAAGAGGAGGAGGTGCAGGTCCTCACAGACAGAGAGGAGGAGGTGCAGGCCCTCAGAGACAGAGAGGAGGAGGTGCAGGCCCTCAGAGACATAGAGGAGGAGGTGCAGGCCCTCACAGACAGAGAGGAGGAGGTGCAGGTCCTCACAGACAGAGAGGAGGAGGTGCAGGCCCTCACAGACAGAGAGGAGGAGGTGCAGGTCCTCACAGACAGAGAGGAGGAGGTGCAGGTCCTCACAGACAGAGAGGAGGAGGTGCAGGCCCTCAGAGACAGAGAGGAGGAGGTGCAGGCCCTCACAGACAAACAGGAGGAGGTGCAGGTCCTCACAGACAGAGAGGAGGAGGTGCAGGCCCTCAGAGACAGAGAAGGAGGAGGTGCAGGCCCTCACAGAGAGGAGGAGGTGCAGGCCCTCACAGACAGAGAGGAGGAGGTGCAGGCCCTCAAAGACAGAGAGGAGGAGGTGCAGGCCCTCACAGACAAACAGGAGGAGGTGCAGGTCCTCACAGACAGAGAGGAGGAGGTGCAGGCCCTCAGAGACAGAGAGGAGGAGGTGCAGGCCCTCACAGACAAACAGGAGGAGGTGCAGGCCCTCACAGACAAACAGGAGGAGGTGCAGGCCCTCACAGACAAACAGGAGGAGGTGCAGGTCCTCACAGACAGAGAGGAGGAGGTGCAGGCCCTCAGAGACAGAGAGGAGGAGGTGCAGGCCCTCAGAGACAGAGAGGAGGAGGTGCAGGCCCTCACAGACAGAGAGGAGGAGGTGCAGGTCCTCACAGACAGAGAGGAGGAGGTGCAGATCCTCACAGACAGAGAGGAGGAGGTGCAGACCCTCACAGACAGAGAGGAGGAGGTGCAGACCCTCACAGACAGAGAGGAGGAGGTGCAGGCCCTCACAGACAAAGAGGAGGAGGTGCAGGCGATCACAGACAGAGAGGAGGAGGTGCAGGTGATCACAGACAAAGAGGAGGAGGTGCAGACCCTCACAGACAGAGAGGAGGAGGTGCAGGTGATCACAGACAAAGAGGAGGAGGTGCAGACCCTCACAGACAGAGAAGAGGAGGTGCAGGTGATCACAGACAAAGAGGAGGAGGTGCAGGCCCTCACAGACAAAGAGGAGGAGGTGCAGGCGATCACAGACAAAGAGGAGGAGGTGCAGACCCTCACAGACAGAGAGGAGGAGGTGCAGGTGATCACAGACAAAGAGGAGGAGGTGCAGGTCCTCACAGACAGAGAGGAGGAGGTGCAGGCCCTCAGAGACAGAGAGGAGGAGGTGCAGGCCCTCAGAGACATAGAGGAGGAGGTGCAGGCCCTCACAGACAGAGAGGAGGAGGTGCAGGTCCTCACAGACAGAGAGGAGGAGGTGCAGGCCCTCACAGACAGAGAGGAGGAGGTGCAGGTCCTCACAGACAGAGAGGAGGAGGTGCAGGTCCTCACAGACAGAGAGGAGGAGGTGCAGGCCCTCAGAGACAGAGAGGAGGAGGTGCAGGCCCTCACAGACAAACAGGAGGAGGTGCAGGTCCTCACAGACAGAGAGGAGGAGGTGCAGGCCCTCACAGAGAGGAGGAGGTGCAGGCCCTCAAAGACAGAGAGGAGGAGGTGCAGGCCCTCACAGACAAACAGGAGGAGGTGCAGGTCCTCACAGACAGAGAGGAGGAGGTGCAGGCCCTCAGAGACAGAGAGGAGGAGGTGCAGGCCCTCACAGAGAGGAGGAGGTGCAGGCCCTCACAGACAGAGAGGAGGAGGTGCAGGCCCTCAAAGACAGAGAGGAGGAGGTGCAGGCCCTCACAGACAAACAGGAGGAGGTGCAGGTCCTCACAGACAGAGAGGAGGAGGTGCAGGCCCTCAGAGACAGAGAGGAGGAGGTGCAGGCCCTCACAGACAAACAGGAGGAGGTGCAGGCCCTCACAGACAAACAGGAGGAGGTGCAGGTCCTCACAGACAGAGAGGAGGAGGTGCAGGCCCTCAGAGACAGAGAGGAGGAGGTGCAGGCCCTCACAGACAGAGAGGAGGAGGTGCAGGTCCTCACAGACAGAGAGGAGGAGGTGCAGATCCTCACAGACAGAGAGGAGGAGGTGCAGACCCTCACAGACAGAGAGGAGGAGGTGCAGACCCTCACAGACAGAGAGGAGGAGGTGCAGGCCCTCACAGACAAAGAGGAGGAGGTGCAGGCGATCACAGACAAAGAGGAGGAGGTGCAGGCGATCACAGACAGAGAGGAGGAGGTGCAGGTGATCACAGACAAAGAGGAGGAGGTGCAGACCCTCACAGACAGAGAGGAGGAGGTGCAGGTGATCACAGACAAAAAGGAGGAGGTGCAGACCCTCACAGACAGAGAGGAGGAGGTGCAGGTGATCACAGACAAAGAGGAGGAGGTGCAGAACCTCACAGACAAAGAGGAGGAGGTGCAGGCGATCACAGACAAAGAGGAGGAGGTGCAGACCCTCACAGACAGAGAGGAGGAGGTGCAGGTGATCACAGACAAAGAGGAGGAGGTGCAGGTCCTCACAGACAGAGAGGAGGAGGTGCAGGCCCTCAGAGACAGAGAGGAGGAGGTGCAGGCCCTCAGAGACATAGAGGAGGAGGTGCAGGCCCTCACAGACAGAGAGGAGGAGGTGCAGGTCCTCACAGACAGAGAGGAGGAGGTGCAGGCCCTCACAGACAGAGAGGAGGAGGTGCAGGTCCTCACAGACAGAGAGGAGGAGGTGCAGGTCCTCACAGACAGAGAGGAGGAGGTGCAGGCCCTCAGAGACAGAGAGGAGGAGGTGCAGGCCCTCACAGACAAACAGGAGGAGGTGCAGGTCCTCACAGACAGAGAGGAGGAGGTGCAGACCCTCACAGACAGAGAGGAGGAGGTGCAGACCCTCACAGACAGAGAGGAGGAGGTGCAGGTCCTCACAGACAGAGAGGAGGAGGTGCAGGCCCTCAGAGACAGAGAGGAGGAGGTGCAGGCCCTCACAGACAAACAGGAGGAGGTGCAGGTCCTCACAGACAGAGAGGAGGAGGTGCAGGTCCTCACAGACAGAGAGGAGGAGGTGCAGACCCTCACAGACAGAGAGGAGGAGGTGCAGGCCCTCACAGACAAAGAGGAGGAGGTGCAGGCGATCACAGACAAAGAGGAGGAGGTGCAGGCGATCACAGACAGAGAGGAGGAGGTGCAGACCCTCACAGACAGAGAGGAGGAGGTGCAGGTGATCACAGACAAAGAGGAGGAGGTGCAGACCCTCACAGACAGAGAGGAGGAGGTGCAGGCGATCACAGACAGAGAGGAGGAGGTGCAGGTGATCACAGACAGAGAGGAAGAGGTGCAGGCGATCACAGACAGAGAGGAGGAGGTGCAGGTGATCACGGACAGAGAGGAAGAGGTGCAGGCGATCACAGACAGAGAGGAGGAGGTGCAGGTGATCACAGACAGAGAGGAGGAGGTGCAGGTGATCACAGACAGAGAGGAGGAGGTGCAGGTGATCACAGACAGGGGATCTGAACTATTTTCTTACAGAGTGTATTCCTTCTGCATTTTGTTTCTCAAAAAGATTGACTTTAAAACTGTTGATACATCCCAGCTGTCTCAGAGCATCAGAACACACTGTTCCTCACAGAGTCCCTCACAGAGTCCTTGTCTTCATGTCCAGGTCCAAACTCCACTCACTGCCAACAAACCGATCGAGGCGATAGAAGGGTCTGTCCTGGTCTCGTCCTGGACCCCACAGAATCCTCTTTGTTTGGACTGAGTCCAGGAAAGAGGCCAATGAGAGAGACAGAAACAGCGGATCAAAAGATATGACAGAGGCCATAAACTACTGATAGAAGAAAAGTGTTTTAGAGCCATTAATTAGTCCAGTCTCAAGACCTAGATACAGACCTGGACAGAGACCTGGACAGAGACCTGGACAGAGACCTGGACAGAGACCCGGACAGAGACCTGGACAGAGACCTGGATAGAGACCTGGACACAGACCTGGACACCGACCTGGAAACCGACCTGGACACAGACCTAGACACAGACCTAGACACAGACCTGGACAGAGAACTGGACAGAGAACTGGACACAGACCTAGACACAGACCTGGACAGAGAACTGGACAGAGTCCTGGACACAGACCTGGACACAGACCTGGACACCGACCTGGACACAGACCTAGATACAGACCTGGACAGAGACCTGGACAGAGACCTGGACAGAGACCTGGACAGAGACCTGGACAGAGACCTGGACACAGACCTGGACACAGACCTGGACACCGACCTGGACACAGACCTAGATACAGACCTGGACAGAGACCTGGACAGAGACCTGGACAGAGACCTGGACAGAGACCTGGACACAGACCTGGACACAGACTTGGACACAGACCTGGACACAGACCTGGACACCGACCTGGACACAGACTTGGACACAGACCTGGACACAGACCTGGACACCGACCTGGACACAGACCTAGACACAGACCTGGACACAGACCTGGACACCGACCTGGACACAGACCTAGACACAGACCTGGACACAGACCTGGACACAGACCTGGACACCGACCTGGACACAGACCTAGATACAGACCTGGACAGAGACCTGGACAGAGACCTGGACAGAGACCTGGACAGAGACCTGGACAGAGACCTGGACACAGACCTGGACACAGACTTGGACACAGACCTGGACACAGACCTGGACACCGACCTGGACACAGACTTGGACGCAGACCTGGACACAGACCTGGACACCGACCTGGACACAGACCTAGACACAGACCTGGACACAGACCTGGACACCGACCTGGACACAGACCTAGACACAGACCTGGATAGAGACCTGGACAGAGAACTGGACAGAGACCTAGACACAGACCTGGACAGAGACCCGGACAGAGACCTGGATAGAGACCTGGACAGAGACCTGGACAGAGACCTTACTTGACTCTCACAAGGTCCAGCTCGGAGCAAAGTGAAAGTGACAGGTTCCAAATATAGAACCGTAAAAGCGTCTGGAGTAGATCCAGGGAAAAACTCAGCTTCAACCTCTGGCACAGACCTCTTTTGTTTAATAACTCTGATGTGACCCCAAATCCACTGCGCTGGTGTGCAGCTGGTTTCGCTGCTGTGGGTCAGTCGAGCAGCATCGAGAGGGAGCTGTATCATGATGAAACTGTGGCTGGGTCTTATCATGAAACATAACTGTAGGTCATATTTTAAATTATCCCTCACTTATCAACAGCTAATTAGTGTATCCTATCCCATATACAATAAAAAAACAAATAAGTGCTAAATACCAATTTACTACAACATCTGAAATCCTGCAGCTGACTCAACATGATCCAGGAGCTATCCGTGGTCCTGAACATGACCGACACAGGAGCTGTCCGTGGTCCTGAACATGACCGACACAGGAGCTGTCCGTGGTCCTGAACATGACCGACACAGGAGCTGTCCGTGGTCCTGAACATGACCGACACAGGAGCTGTCCGTGGTCCTGAACATGACCGACACAGGAGCTATCCGTGGTCCTGAACATGACCGACACAGGAGCTGTCCGTGGTCCTGCATGTGGCTGGTCCCTGAGCTGTCCCTGGTGCTGAATGTGACTGGACCAGGAGCTGTCCCTGGTCCTAAACTCTGGATGAAGATTGGTTTTCTAAGGCATAATGGCTCTGAGGATAAATATAGACATCAGGAAAACAGACCAAATGAAACCTGTGCTTCACATCTCTCTGTGAAAGAGAGACACAAACAGGACGAGCAATCAGCATCAGAAGATTAGATGGAGAGAGAAAGGAAGAACATGCTTTATCTGCACAGAATCTGACTATAGAGTTTCTAAACACCTCAAAGAGCAGCAGTAAAATCTCAACATGCCACAAAAAAAATTAATATATACGTACAGTAAATAGAATGTTCTAAATAGATCATATTTGTGTGTTGGACTGAGCATCCATTAGTGTAACACACAGAATATTACATCTTAGCTCATGTTCAATTATTTATTCAATTAAACAATATTTGTGAGTTTATACAACTATGATCTTAAATACTTAAAACGTCAAAGCCTCTTGTTGCATTAATTAAGGATAAATCATGGAGAGCGGAAGGGGACTGTTTAATAGCATAGCACAGCAATCAAGATGCGTCGTGGTTAGATTTGAGTCTGATATAAGTAAGCTGGAGCCAGTTTCCTTATATGGATATTTGTTTTGATTGGTCTGGATCTACAAAGACAATATCACATTATAAACACCAGGATCACAGAGAGCGATAAACTACAGATTTAAGCTCAAAAAGGTCAAAGCCAAACTTCATCATGAGCATGGGCTTCATTTAGGAGCCAGCGAAGTATCTCCATGTTCCAGACATTTATCATGAATAATCTCCACTGTGTAAGAACCACTGCTCCATAATCACACACAGACAGACCTTAGTGCACCACTTATCTCCTCTCTCCCCTACCTATCTCCACCGCCCCTTTCCCTCTCCTCTCTCTCACTCTCTCCTATCTCCCCTCTTTCTCCTTTCTTCTCTGTCCTGTCCCTATCTCTCTACCCTCTCTCTCCTCTCTCTTTCCTTTCTTCCCTCCTTTTCTCTCTCGTCCCTCTCTCTCCTCTCTCCCCTCCCTCTCTCTCGTCTCTCTCTCCTCTCTTCTCTCTCTCCCTCCCTCTCTCTCGTCCCTCTCTCCTCTCTCTTTCCTTTCTTCCCTCCTTTTCTCTCTCGTCCCTCTCTCTCCTCTCTCTCTCCTCTCTTCTCTCTCTCCCTCCCTCTCTCTCGTCCCTCTCTCCTCTCTCTTTCCACTCTTCTCTCTCCCCTCCTTCTCTCTCTCGTCCATCTCCCTATTCTCTTTCCCTTCCCTCTCTTTCCTCTCTTCTTTCTCCCCTCCCTCTCTCATCCCTCTTTCTCCTCTCCCCCCTCTCTCCCCTCTCTTTCTCCTTTCTTCTCTGTCCTGTCCCTATCTCTCTACCCTCTCTCTCCTCTCTCTTTCCTTTCTTCCCTCCTTTTCTCTCTCGTCCCTCTCTCTCCTCTCTCCCCTCCCTCTCTCTCGTCTCTCTCTCTCTCTCTTCTCTCTCTCCCCTCCCTCTCTCTCGTCCCTCTCTCCTCTCTCTTTTCCACTCTTCTCTCTCCCCTCCTTCTCTCTCTCGTCCATCTCCCTATTCTCTTTCCCTTCCCTCTCTTTCCTCTCTTCTTTCTCCCCTCCCTCTCTCATCCCTCTTTCTCCTCTCCCCCCTCTCTCCTCTCTCTTTCATCTCTTCTCTCTCCCCGCCTTCTCTCTCTCGTCCCTCTCCCCCTCTCTCTCCTCTCTTCTCTCTCCCCTCCCTCTCTCTCCTCTCTTCTCTCTCCCCCGTCTCTACCCTCCCTCTCTCTCCCTTCCCTATCTCCACTCTCTCCCCTACTCTCCTCTATCTTCTGTCCTCCATCTCTGCTCCCTCCTCCCTTTCATCTCTCCTCCCTCCCACTCCTCTCCACAATGACACAGACATGATCTGCAGATTCCAAGGACAGTTTTCCATTCTGAACATGAACTCCACTTAAAAACTCCCCAAACTATGTCCTCTTTATGTTTAAAGCTGCTTCTTTTGTGACAGAAAGAGCTCTTAGAGTCACTGAGATCTCATCGGGTTTTTCACTTTTGTGTCTGCAAAAGCTGATTTTAAGATACATGATGTGAGACCATAGATAGAGATTAACCAGAAAGAGAGACAAGGGAGAGACCAGAGAGTTGATCCAAAGATGTGTCAGAGGCCAAAAATACAATATGTGAAAACTTGTGATAGAACTGTTTTAACTGTTTTAGAGTGAGGTTTTAATTTTTTACGCTTTAAATCTGGCTCCTTGCCGCTGTTGAAATACCCGGAAACAGACTCATCCAATGCATTCTTATGGCACCTTTTTTACTCCTAGAAACAGCTTTTCCGCCTGGTCCAAAAGTCTGTTCTTGGCTCAACGCTATGTTCCAGATGTGTCAATGCTGAGGGGAGTGTTCTGTCTTGGACCAGCCTAGTTTAAACCGCTGTGGACTTTTGAATGAACATGCTGCAAATAGTGTCCGTTCTATGCTTCGGAAAAGGCAAACACTTGCAGTGCTAATGCTAATACCTTCCCAGTGATAACCTGTAAACCAGCTGAATTTGTCCACGAAGAATGTATACTTTTCCCCCCCTTTCTTTTACTTGCAAAAAAACAGTCCAAATCAAGGGACAAATCAGAATGAATGTAACCTCAGTCCCCTTGCATTTACTTTTAATTTACACATCAGGAAACATTAACTGAATTGTTAATGGCTGCTTTTGTCTTTCTTATGGACTATAAGCAGTTCATAACTCAGACTTTTGTTTTACTCAACAACAAAAAACACAAAAAGTCCTGCTTTACATGTTACTGAATTCATGTGTTGTTTTTAGGTAAACCAGACACTGGAGACCGCTTCATCAGAAAAAAAATAATTAAAATAAGGGACAACAATCATTATTTTTACTGTTAGATTTTTAGCAACTAGTAAATCTGAGGAATATATTTATTATAGACAGCAGATTTCACTGTGACAATGAAAGATAAATGTATGTATCTGAATCTGTGAAGAACCTTCTTTCAAACTTGCTATCTACATTTTATAGCAATTTAATATGTTTTTATATATGCTTATCTACACTGTGGTCTAGTTGAGATGCGAAGAACGTAACACAAAAACACAACACAACAACGTAACACCTGTGGAAAATGAACCACACAGAGACGGGATCGTTGCGCACCAGAGCTTTCCTGGAAGTTTATCCTCAGTTTCCTTCAGGCTTCAGTTTTTTCAGACAGAACAAAGTCAGGACATGGTTTATAGAGTCATTCGTCACGTCACGGATACGTCACACACATAAAGACATACGTGTCGCATCAAGAGACCATCAGAACATATCACAGTCATAACATGGATACACAATGGAGTCTTTGTGACTGTGAGGGCCAGATATTTTGTCTTACACCTGTTTGTCCACCTGTTTGTCCACCTGCGTAGGCCATATCTATCCACCATACACCTATAATAACCTTAAAATACATCCAGAGACACACACAACAACCATAACAACCTTAAAGTGTAACCAGAGCTACTGGATTCACATAATTACAATCTGGAAATAGATGTTTCAGTGAATAACAAGTTGAATATTCACAAATGTACATACATGTTTCATACGTTTAAATATGTAAATAATATTGATACAAACATGAATCCATTGAAGGCCGCAGGGCGACGGCTGCAGCTGTTTGTAGAAGAACATGTCTCAAAGCTAAAGTTCCTCTGACGCAGACTCAGACTCTGATCCTGATTCTCAGTCGCAGCGGAGGCTGTTCTGGCTTCAGTTTTAAGCCGTTGGGTAAAGAGTGGTCCAAACATGTGTCCACATCGAGGCCACGGCGAGGATTCTCTGAACCACAGGGTTTTACAGCAGTAAAGCTTGTAGGTGGTTTATAAGTGGATTTCAAAGATTTAATACAGACCTCCTCCAGGTCTCTGGAGAGTCCTGGTCTCTCTCTAGTCTCTCTCTGGTCTCTCTTTCTGCTCTCTCTCTTGTCTCTCCCTCTGGTCTCTCTCTGGTGTCTCTCTCTAGTGTCTCTCTCTGGTGTCTCTCCCTCTGGTCTCTCTCTGGTGTCTCTCTCTTGTCTCTCCCTCTGGTCTCTCTCTGGTGTCTCTCTCTTGTCTCTCCCTCTGGTCTCTCTCTCTGGTGTCTCTCTCTGGTGTCTCTCTCTGATGTCTCTCTCTGATGTCTCTCTCTGGTGTCTCTCTCTGGTGTCTCTCTCTTGTCTCTCCCTCTGGTCTCTCTCTGGTGTCTCTCTCTTGTCTCGCCCTCTGGTCTCTCTCTCTGGTCCCTCTCTCTGATGTCTCTCTCTGGTCCCTCTCTCTGGTGTCTCTCTCTGGTGTCTCTCTCTGATGTCTCTCTCTGG